CAGGAAACAGCAACTCATTACCTTTTGCCACTGAACACTGAAGAAGCAACTCCCCAGGAAGATTCAACAACACTCCAAAAGTACTAAGTTAAAACTCCCAAGACCAAGAAGATGGCAGAGACCAGAGCAAAGAAAACCGTTAGCAGGCCTAAAACACTAGCCGCCCCAATCCAAATCATAATGCACAAAATGGCCAACCAGAACTTTCATGCCGACACCAAAGCAGCAAGGAAAACGTGGAAAACACAGACCCAGAAAGCACAAGCCACCCGAGACACCAAAACAATACAAAATCCCCACACCCTAGGGAAGGAAAAGGCAGACAGGGCCTGCAGTGAGGGTTGGGAGGGGGACTGGAAGTGGGATACAGAACCCATCCCCAAGCCAAAGTTCCCACAACCCCCCCTCTCTCCAAGATAGGTTACCTTGAGGTGCTTCCGGGGCTTAGCGTCCCCCGCGGCCCGGTTGTCGACCAGGCCTCCTTTAGGGCTCAAATATAAAAATTAAAACTACAACACATGTCTCCTGCATCGTTTTGTAAAGTTCAACACACATAGCAGAGGTAGAATAATGAACTATTTAAAAATAAAATATAAAGGGCCAAGGCGTTCGGAAACTTGCACCCGAGAGCAGCTGAAGTAGACCGATCCACATCAGAGACTGCAAAGAGTTTACCAACACCCGAAAAGGCTTAAAACCCAAGCAGAAAACACTGGTACCAGAATTTTAAGTTGAGAACTCATACCCAACACAGCTCCAGTAGGCATGAGCAGGACGACAAAACAAGCATGCACAAATCCATGCTTTCATAACCAAGAAAAAAAACAATCAGCATCCAACCACTAAGCCTCGCAGAAGAGCCAAAAAACCCATGCACTACCTAGGGTAAGGCCCCTTCCATAGAAGACCAGACTCTCCCTAACCCACACCCAATCCACCAGGGTAGGCAACCTTGTCAGTATAGGGGCAACACTAGTGAGCATCGAGGGAAGGCTAACCCTAGGCACAATCAGCTCAGAGCATACCGTTTCTGAAAGTCCACACAAGATGTAAAAAATATGCATGCATGTGAAGCAAAAATATGCATGCATGTGCATCTGCTGGGTTGCCCATTTTCTGTGTTTTTTACCATAAAATTTTTTTACCATTTTACCCTATACCACTTTCTTTTGGGCTTGTTTTTTCCCCTTTGTTTTTCTTAGGTTTTTATTTTACCTTTCTGTTGTCTGTTTTTGCCTGTCCTACCTTTCTGGTGACTTACTTTCAGTTAGACTGATTCTTATGCCTCTCGCCTCAAGTAGACTTTTCATGACTCGCACTGGTAGGCTTCTTAAGACTCGCAAGGGACTGGTTAGTCAAAATGGGTGAAGCTATCCAGAATTTGGCAGCAAGAAGCCACTGATGAAGCCCTCCCAGAAAAATCCATTATTGATCAAAAAAATTCATTACCTGTTCCACAGTAGTGCTTCTATGGGTCAGCTAGTTTCCTATAGAATTTGGATTTACCTGTCACAGAATTAAGCTATTTCTTTATGCTAGTTTAACGAAGTAAAAGAAAGAAGACTACTTTCACACCAACACATTTTACACCTTTCTAGAACAGTATTATATATCCAAAGCATTACTTTGCTTATACTAAACATCAAACTTCTATATTTACCATTCAATAAATAAGCAAAATACAAGTTTATGGAAACAATATGTGGCAATTAGTATTAGAGATGGACTACCAAATCTTTTTACATTAACTACTGCCTATTTATGGAGGAATTCTGCTAGAGTTGAGTACACTTCTTAAGAATACAAATTACTTTTGATTTTTTCATTTTGTTCCTCAAAAATTGAAAAAAAACAGCATTGAATGTAATCTGCTAATAATAATAAAGCTAATATGTGATACATTAGATCAGGGCATTAGTCAATGGAGTTCAACCTACCAGGGACCAGGAGCCATAACCTGGCCACCCTCAAAAAGGCACAGGGAGCAATAGCCCCTGGAAAACCCTTGTGGTTGGGGGTTCTCCTTATCTGCCATCAACCGGGGTTAGGCACCCAGAAAGGTAGCTATAACAAAACAGACCCCACATGGTAAAACACCCACGCAAAAGTGCAATATCCCCAGAGGAAACAGGAACCAGCCACTGTATAGGTAAGCTGGCTGCACAACACCTTGATGCCCCAACCAGCAACAATACCACTCCCTACCAAAGGCCAACAAGGGCCACTAAACCCCAGCTGCCCCAAGGGCAGGGTAAATGCCGAGCAGTAAAAGCCCTACGAAAATGGCATCCCATAGGCACCAGGGAAGATGACCCTAACACCCAAGGGTAGTACTCACAGGGCACTTAGGGAAGGTTGACGTAAACCCTGGTGCACTTAAGTACACCTGGCCACCACACCAAGAACAGCAGAGGACACCACTAAGGCAAAACACTGCCAGGAAACCGAGGTCAGAGTTGACGCCGTCCCGGATCGCATTAGCCAATGAACTGGAGTTGCTGGGTGGCCGGCGCGTGGGCTCCGGGGCTCATACCCCCTCCTGGGGAGAGGAGGGTTGTGCAGACAAGCGATGTGGCGGCGAGGTGGCAACGTATGATTATCTGCCCGCTTCCTTGGGATTTGAGGGAGTTCTGCCTCTCTGTTCAGTTTTTGGTTACAATTTTCTTACCATGTGGGGTCTGTTTTGTTATGCCTACCTTTCTGGGTGCCTAACCCCGGTTGATGGCAGATAAGGAAAACTCCCAACCTCATTGGGGTTTTCCAGGGACTCCCTGTGCCTTTCTGAGGGGGCTAGGTTCTGGCTCTTGGTCCCCGGTAGGCTGAACTCCATTAACTAATGCCCTGATCTAATATATCGCATATTAGCCCGATAGCTACAGGAAGCCGAAGGAGCTCCCCACAGAAATTGCATACATTCCTGGTGATAATGGATCAATCAAAGATCTAAAATGAACATCAAATTTCCTCTAAAGCTAGATAGTGATGGCAGTACACAATCAACTGCAAAGAGCCACATAGGAGCTCATCAACCACCACAAGTCTCTTCAGTAATTGCCAGCACAATTACTTGCAAGTCATAAAGTCAGACATTAATATATCAAAGTCCAAAATGAGGGTGTAGCAAAACACATGCATTTCTAGTTTTATATTATAGCAAATTTAAGATTACAATTTTAAGTTGAATTTAAACAAATACAACCTGTCGAGTTTTAATGCTGCTTTATGTGTATTTAAATTTATTTTGTATTTAGGCACTACCTGCTTATGTTCCAACGTCCAGCACAGCGTATGCGTAAAAGGCTACCGAGGCAGCAAAGCACTGCAATATACCGTACATGATAATGTTCCTAATGTTAGCAGATAAATTTGCAATTTGAAACAAAGATAAAAGAATTCTTAAAATTGATTAGGCCATAACAAAATTATAGACAAGGCCAGTGAACTGCACAAAGAGAAATCAGAATCTATAGAAACATGCACAAGTACACAGTCAATATTTAGGCAAGTCTTTCCATTACTCCCTTCCCACTCTCACAGGATGGGCAAGCATCTATTAACATACAGTACTGTGAAATGATGAAGCTCACAATATTTAGCTTTACAATAAACATGCATAACGGGCTGAGAATAGCTTGAGCTACCTCATCCCTTTGTGTGTATTTTACCTCAATAAACTTAATTTCAATAAACATGCAAACATCAAGTAAATATTTGTCTGCAACTATAAGACAAAATAATAATTCATTGTGTTGGGTGACAGACAGCCAGTGTACATATACATGTTAGGCATGTATCGAAGTCTCGTTCCCCTATCCCTCAAGTTTGAACTACTGACCCTTTCCAGGATGCAACCCCACAACAAGCTGACTAACTCCTGGATACCTATTTATTATTAGGTGAACAGGGCATAGGGAGATAGGACACTCGCACAACTATTTCTGTCTTACCCAGGATTTCAACCAGGAGTTCTTTATTGCGAGTCGAGTCAACAACCAAAGTCTTCAATGACTGACAACACTAACATGTATAGGCAAAAAAAATAAACAAAAATTCAAAGAAATACAACACCTTGTTTCATAATCCTATTTGGCTCCATTTCTAAATGATGCAAAAATCAAGAAAAACTCAGAATTGCCATGAAAGCAGAAACACAATTGAAAAAAAAATTCACAACACTATATACAGCATACATCAGGCCACTCTTGGAATACGCAACACTGGCATGGAATCTGACTCGTTAGAACACAGCAAGACAGCTGAGAAAGTCTGGAGATCTGCTACAAGACTAGTATCCAAAAAAAGCAGAGCTAATTTAACAAAGACACCTTAAGGTTACTCAATCTAGAAACACTAGAAGAATCATAGAAGATATGACTGCACTTCACAAGATACTGAAGAGGAATAGGTAAGGTGGATTAGATGGACAGGAATATATATATATTTTTTTAACAGGAGAAAACAGAAGGGGGCACAGGGCAAAGCTGAAACCATAAATGAGTAGGACATCTAAGAACTTACATGGACTGAATGTGCATGTAAATTACATGCATGCATTTCAATTAGTCAATAAACCACTCACTCAATAACCAAACTAGCCAATTATGCCAATGCTAGTGTACATTAGTGTACCAAGGGGGTACACTAATGGCTACCAATTCCAACTATATGAAAAACATAACAGATTGGAATGCATTAAATTTAGAAAAAATATATAACTTGCTAGAAGTACAATACAGTATATAAATCTTCTCAATTCTAAAACTTTTTTTTTTTTACCATCTGGCATCTCAAGAATAATAAGATTTAGCTAAACCTTGTAGTCCATCTGCTAATGCTGACTGCTTTGCTGGATAACCAATATGTTTATAATGCAACACTTATCCTTATCATATGGATATACAGTATAACAGGTGATTGGAGTAAGTACTTGAGCTAAAGAACCCTGTAAATATTCTATTATAAGTACTATATAGTGTGCTCTTGAAGCTTACTCTGCTCACCTGTTTTAAACGTGTTCGGTCCTTTTCCAATGCATATGTTACGTCATCACCCTGAGCTGTATCGTGCTCGTGCTTCCTTCTCTCCTCTTCAAGCTCTGCAACCACCCGAGAATGGCGCTGAATGGAAAGAACACACAGGCTGTTCACGCTATGCATTAAGACATACAGGAAAATCTATGCACGAGGGACATTTGATAAATTTTACAGTTCTATGGGAATATAATATTGACAGAGTTCTAAGTTTTTTGGTAACAATATTGAATGAGTGGTTATTTATTTCCATTATTTAACTAATACTACAGTATTTAGTTTTAAAGAGTTAAAAATAGAAAATTACATCTGAGAAAATTACAGATTTAAAAAACTGAGCAGTTAGAATATTTTAACAAAAGATTCTACAGCATAGGAGAGTCGAGGAAATTAAACATTGGTAGAAAAACCTTGAAGATAAATCGAGTAACAGCAGCATTCCCATATAGTACTAAAAACAACTAAAAACAAAGTAACTGGTGCCCAAATAAAGAACTACATGTGGACTGGTACATCAACGTCAGTGAAACAAGGACTGTATCGAGGTGTGTGGTGTGACCCTTCTTGAACATTTGAGGATGTCTCAGGTTACAGCAAGATAGGTTCCCCTGGAGCCTCAGAACTCAAGATCCACATGGAAGGATGGCCTGAAGTCAAATATGGAAAACAAGACATCGATTCATCATTGGAACCTAGAGTCAAAGATGGACTCCATGCAATGAATGCCTGAATTTTCCAAACCCCAAAAAGTTTGGAAAGTCACAGTCTCTGCCAGCAAGATTATACTGTACCTCAATTTTCTGGTATGCCAAAAGAATTCTACTAGACGAGTTCCTGAGGCAAGAAATTATCACCAAATGCAAACAAATACAACACTGCACAAAAATGTGTCCATGCCTCATCCCATGTTACACAGATATCTAATAATGACTATACTGTACAGGAAGTTTCAAGTGATTAACAGTCCTCCATGCAGCTCACAATTATTTATATTACAGTATATATCCAGCTTTCAAATATTGTTTATCATCCCTCATGTCTACTATACAATATAATACAGTATATTTCAATGGACTACATCCAATGAGACAAAAGTTAAGTAAATTTAAATTTGATTACAAATATATTCAACACAACTTACCACAATTTAAAACTTAGAAACATTTTATCACGAAAATAAAACTTTCAAAAGTGAAGATTGCTACGAAACTATTTTTTGATTACTGGCTTCAAATCATTCAAGCCACGACAAGTTATGCACCTGAAAACATCAGTACAAAACACAACATGCACGCAATACTACCAGTATCTCTTACGTAGTAGTCATCCTTACGCTTACTCTAATGTGCTCACGATATAAATTAAACTAATTACCAGAAACTAATCTTAACTTAAAATTTAGTTTGGGCTCATAAAGTTAACTTTAAAAGTTCACTTTCATCCCAAGTTTCAAGTCAATGTACTTGACAGAATTTAAATTACAGCAAATTAAAGAAATAAATGTTTTTCTTATAGTAGCTGTAAACAGACTTTTGGCCTAGTATCCTTAACACAATTTTCCTTCATACTAAATTCCAGGAGAAACAT